TCAATGGAAATGCACCAAACTCAAAAACTTCCTCTCGAAGAACAGTAGAGTTTTTAGAATTTTGATAAGAGATGGTGTCGATTTTCAAGTGCAAACACCAAGATATGCCCCACATGGTGGCGCAATCCAAGCCTATCGACCAGCAAAGGTCAGGACAAAAAAATGTCACCTTGTATGCCGTCTGAAACTTCATACACACTCACCCCGATCTCCTCTTAGAGTTTATCCAAATTGGTGGCAATAATTAAGTTCAGAGATTGAGACACATGGTTTTCTTTTTCTTCTGCTATAGTGCAGTTCGGCAGGTAATGACAGACATTTTAGAAGACCTTTATATATATATAATCGTTGATGGATTTATTAAAAATATAGAAGGAATAAAGACAAAACACAGATATCTCTATTTCCTTAATTGTCTTGAATTAATATTATTAAATTATATGTTAATACAAGTTGAATTTATCTCTAAATTATAATATTTACAAGTGAAATGCTTCTCGTTAGCCTATAATCAAGAAAAAAGAAGAAACAAAGTTATTGAAGAACACTTTAGCAGACCTGTTAAGCTGCGGGCATGACTTTTCTTGACCTCTTTCTTTCTAAAGATGAGATTAAGGGCTGATCCTAGCAGTGGCCAATTTGTTCTGATGGCAATGAAAGCGAGAAACCACATTGATATGCGTTTCTGTTGCAAAATATGATTGAAGAATTTTCTAACAGGAAAACAACGTTACCTCCAGAAACATTAGTATGTTGATTAAAGTGGAGAAAAGAGAACAAAACCTTGAAGATTATATCCTTCCACAATTAGACGAGGTCCGAAAACAACGATTTACATTCACCAACGCATATCTGATAATAATTCGTTATCAGTTTGATGAGAAGAGTAGGAGTAATTAACAGAAAGTGCACCTTTTGTACATGCATGTATGGACTAGAGTGTAGAACACCAACAAGAATTTCATCTACAGCCCTTGACCAGTTGCGAATTAGAAGAGATTTGGGGGGGTTACCAAAGGAAAGGTAAGAAAACGCCACAGCTAATCCCATTAAAATTTAAGGTCTATCCATCTGTCCGCCCCAAAGAATGACATCTGCAAATCAGGACAAGACTTGTAAATCTGGGAAGATGAACTATTACGTACATTTATAGCCATGACATCATCTGAGTGTTGAATTGATTAGAGTCTAGTGTTCTACTATCAGAAAGGTAAGAAGTACCAATAGCTGTTTGCCGCTAATCCTTCAAAGAATGCCAGATGCCCTCCATGCTGTGATGTAGCCAACACAATGTTTGGGTTTGCTCTCTGAAATGGTCAAAAGAGAATTCAAATCTCAGAATAACACGAAAGTGGGTTGTTAAGGACACAAGTTATTTCAGTATCACAGAAGAGGATCCGCCTGCAATCATCCCATGGAATGGCTTCTCTAGTGCAGATTGGATTATCCAGAGCACTAATGCATAGCGTTGGCACCGATACATTCCCCAACATATAGTCTGAAAAATATATGATACTTTTGGATGCTTAGAAGACAAGCGAGCGAGAAGGAAGAGATGCAAATGTCAGTTACTAACACCTCAAATTTTCCAGTAAGGCAGGTTGCATAGTTGTAATGATCCCAGAAAGCATTAGGAGAAATATTATAAACAAATTTATGATGTAAATGCCATCTTAAAGTGAAAACTTCTGCTATTTTCAAAATTATTGGCTTTCAGGTTATGCAGAAGAAATAATTCTTTAGCTGTAGAAAATGAAGAGCAAAGAAAAACATGTTAATAACATGAAAGCTACACCCCAGAAGAGCCATCTTAGCTACAGTGACACAAGATTTGAAAACAACAGAAAGTAACTAGAAGATCCAGATAACTTTGAATGGACAGTAGAAATCGAGGAACTGCATTTCTTTTTCTTGTTACCATTAATCTTGTCAGTAAATCTCCACTTTGATGATTATGATTTGAATTTAGAAACCACCCTATATTGTAGATTTTGTACTCTGATATTCAAAGAATTCAGATTTCTCCAGTCATAAACAGTGCCAAAATACTCTGCTTAGTATAAATTCAATCCTTCAAAGGCTCTTCATTCCTTGTGGAAATTCTTCTAATTCCCGTAGAAGAATACCACTCCAATCAAATCTCTGACACTCTTAACTTAAAGTGAAAGGAAGGATATATCAGAAAGAATAACCAATGGTAGCCCAAACAACTGTCAGCAAGCTAAAAAGGAGGTAAGCAGGAATGCATGTACAAGATTCAACACACAAAAATGTTATAATATGATCTGACCATATTTTCTCAGTAGATTGCTTCTTTTAAGACAGAATTTCAACCGTTTGCAGTGGTTCTATATTATTGACTTCTTGTTAGCGCTCCAATGTAAAGTAGATGTTTAAAATCTAAAGGGATAGAAGCGCATAATTTATATGTGACCCTTAAGAAGTTCAAGGCTTTTACCAGGAACTTTACATTTAGCCTTGATAGCTTTATTTGACAGAAGATAAATTAAAGATGAAGTAACTTCATCTACGAATGTCCAAAAAGGCAATAATTTGGAGACAATAATGCTCATGGTCATAGTTTTAGGCAAATAATCGGCCAATGCAGTTGATATGTGAACCAGAAAAACATCACAGTCGGCAAGTAATTGCTGTCAACACAGAATTCATTTCTGAGAAAAACAACAAGTATAAGATGTAGCAACTAGCTTCAACTGTCAAGTAAACCAATATTAATCCCACATTATATTTCATCTTTCTCAGCTCTACACAAGTAATCAGCGAAAAAGAGAGAAGAAACTTGCAGTAATTGAAACACCGCCAACTCCTCAGTGGTTGCCAACAACAACATTCCATCCGTGTTTAGCCATGTTGAAGGCAAGATTCTTCAGATACTAAAATTCAAAACAAGTAAGAGATCCATTATTGTCCTATTTCATACACATGAATATTCACACACACACACACGCTAGCATGCAAGAATCATGCATAAGAAAATATTCAGCATGCATCCATGTCTCTACACTTGAACATAGTCCATCAAGATTCAACAGCACAAAACTAACATAACAAGTTTCTGATAGGCTGTTAAAGCATTCAGAAGGATGAAGGGGTACTGCTCAATGCTTTAAAGCATTGAGTCCTGGCTCTATCAGCACTGTTTCTGCTTGTCCTGCATGTAACTCTGTTTGAGAGAAGACAAACTTTGAAAACAGAAAGCAAAATAACTAATAAGTGAATGTCAGTGTTGGATGAAGTCCAGTCGTTTGATTCATTTGTTGTGGAGAGACCAGCAACAGCAGCAAGTTTCTCTGCACACTGGTAAGTTTGCTGCAATAAGTTCCGAGAATATTTCAACCTCACCATGAAAGAAAAGTCTCTCCATCAGATCTTTTAGGCTTATACTGATTCAGGCATTCAGGTTTGGAGTCTTGGTTTCTTGACATAGTTTTCGAATCATCAGCCAAGATCCTTAAAAGACTAGAAGGGTTAACTAATTGTGCCCATCTACTTGTCGCACGTGTGCGGCGTCGCGGTGATCATTCTCCATCCATACTAACGATGGGATGTGGTGTATTTCTAGCAAGATATGAAGAGACAAGGAATTCTTGTCTCTTATCAGTGAAAACATTGAATGGGAGTCGCCACCTAGTATTCTGGTAACTAGGAACCCTAACTGGTTTTTAGAGATCAGGTATGGAGACTGGTTGCGTAAAGGGACGGTATTAGCACCCCGATTACGCCCTACCTAAGGTAGACTGCATTGTTTTGTCTGATAAAATATGAAATTATGTTGTGGTATCCAATTATATGTGTATCTAAAACCAAAGAACCTTTTAAAATCAAGAATACATGTTATGTATAACCTCATAATCCCTGATACTAAACAAAACAAAAAAATTTCTTGTTGTTTTTTATATTTTGGCCAATGTTCTCTTGACTTTAATAAACTGGTTATTGAAGCCAAAATGCATGCTAAAATATTATTTTTGATGTATGAAAAATACAATATGATTTTTTTATATATTTGTGTAGCTTTGAGACACTTGGCCGTATGCACAAAAATATTTTTTTTTTATTTTTGTTGATTTAAAAAAAAAAATCATCAGCCAAGATCCTTAAAAGACTAGAAGGGTTAACTAGCTGTGCCCATCTACTTGTCGCACGTGTGCGGCGTCGCGGTGATCATTCTCCATCCATACTAACGATGGGATGTGGTGTATTTCTAGCAAGATATGAAGAAACAAGGAATTCTTGTCTCTTATCAGTGAAAAATTTGAATGCGAGTTACCACCTAGTATTCTGGTCACTAGGAACCCTAACTGGTCTCAGAGATCGAATATGGAGACTAGTTACGTAAAGGGAAGATATTAGCACCCCAAATATGCCCTACCTGAAATAGGTTGCATTGTTTTGTCTGATAAAATATGAAGTCATGTTGTAACATGAAAGTGTGAAATACGATCAACCCAGATCGAGATGATAAGGGCTGCAAGCACTATGTGGCAGGAATACGAGTACAAAAATTAGCCGGGAGAACAGATTTTAAAAATGGAAAAAGAGAAGCATCGATGGATATGAATTCAAAGTGTGCTTGCAAAAACTTTCAAATGCCAGCATTTTGAATCATTCTTCAAGTTCTTATGATGGCAACATCATTTTGCAAAAAGCTGATCAGACAAAAACTAAGCAGTTCAGCTGGCAGGCCCCCCTCCCCCAAACCCCAATAAAAAAGAACGAAAGGAAAGCAAAAGGAAAGGAAAGGAAAGGAAAGGAAAAAGGTTATAAAATTCGTGGTTTCAGTTCCAACAGAACTCGAAGCACAATCACAGGTTATAAATATTCATCAACACCACAGTAGACTGAAAAAAATATTGCCTAGATGTTGGATACGGTACAGAGCTTCCCCCTGGATATGTCAGTCCTATGTTAGCAGTACATGTTTTCGACAAAATAAGCATGCCAAATAAATAATCAAAATAAGTACGCCAAAACAAAACTTTGGAAATGAAATTTTCCCTACGATATTGTTATTAGATAATTAGAGCTGGGAATAGGATTAACCATGACTCTATATTTCACTTAGACAAGCATGTTCACACAGCCATATGGACATGACTCTAAAATGGCCATTTGTGGCCATTTGATTAAGCTATTTCGACAAACAGCTGGCCATTTTGGCCTTTGTTACATCCCCCAAATCGACAAACAGCTGGCCATTTTGGCCTTTGATACATCCCCAAAAAAAAAAGGACCAATTATAGACGAGTCACCAGTCTTTAGAAGTTAAAAAAAAAAGTCAATGGAATGCAGCAGTGACAGCCCTTTTGTTTGAGGGGATGTCAGGGTTTGGAGATGGAAGCATGGTGAATGCCAATATTCCACTAACTGCGGCTGCAACAGCTCCTACCACAAAAGCTGGTGGATTGCCTCCTCCAAAAAGGTCATCCCAAGGTCCACTTGCTACAGACACCACCATCTGCAAAAATATAATTAAACCAGCAATTGAGTTAATTCATCCTTTCTTTTTTCCTTTTTTCCCTTTCCATCAACATATTATATTCCCTTTGTTTTTTCTTTTTTTTCCTTTCCATGATTTGAATAAGATTCTTTTCTTCTCTTCTTCAAGTTCTGTATTTTGGTGCACGGAATCGCATAATTGAAGTGTCAGTCTATCATTCTTGGGGTTCACAGAATATCATGAGTCAGAGAAGAACAAAGATGTAACCTTGTTCTGTCTGGAAAAAGTTTATGCAACCTTTCCAATAATTTCATAAGCCAGCATTACACCCATACTTCGAAACCAATATAATGCTTGCCCTTGAGTGCTTTTAGTAGCCCATGCTAACATGTCTAGATGCGGCATTCCATACATTCCAATAGATCATTACATAAAAAGATAAGTCATAGTTGTCAGACTACGATTTCTTTATCTAATTAAAGAAGCATAATACTTAGTGGAATACTGTTTTCCTTTTATGTTCAAGTCAGCAGATCACTACTGTGGCATTGTCCAGTGCTGAAGGACTTACAAGGCTAGGACTCAAGATGAATCCGAATTGAATGCACTCCTAGAAACCATCATCAAATAAATATATGGCATAAACTTGTAGAGGCATTATGCTTGGAAAAACAATCACTAGAATTTATAACAGCAGTGTGCATTAACAGCATGAAGCACTGACCTGTGGTATAACTATTGACAGATTGAGAACTCCCAGAGAAAGCCCTATAATAAATTTGGAACAAGGGAATTAACAGTTTAGGAGGGTACTTTACGAATCACCAAAAGCCCTGCTTTCATTTTCTTCAAAAGGGTTGGAATTAAAAATTTTACCTTGGCCAGAACCAGAGGTGTTAGAAAAGATTGATGCCAGAGCAAAAGGGATGCTGTAAGTTATCTGCAAAACATGAGCCATCGTTGGTTAATCATGAAAAACTTCGAGTCTTGTTTCACTAATTAATAACTTAAAATTACGATGATCAAATTAATGTTATTCAAAGAATTAAAGATATGTTCTTCAAGTTCCATTAAAACAGCAGTTGCAGCTTTTCCAACAACAATCGCAGCAGTAGCTACCACACAATTTTCATTAAATGCACACATTAATATTGGATATATTTCCATTAATTTGACGTTTCACTAAATCCATGCCCCTTATAAAATATTGAGAATCTTGGCTTTTCATTAATTAAGTGTTGCTAGGTAACATCATAATCTGCCTAATCCAACCAAACAAACACATTCAAGAAGAAACTCAGACGAGGGCAGTTAACGTTTGCTGTCCATGCATTGGAGGGCCAAAGAAAGTAATCAGAACTCAAAAACTAGCCATTTGTAAACTACGTGGCTCCACGCAGGTACAGGTTCCTAGAGACTGAAGATTTCACACTTGCAGTCATAGGGAGTGCTGTCCCCTGTCCTCTCGTTTATGTCTCTGATAATATGATCAACCTATTTATCTTATCTTACCTAGTTATGCTATAAAACTGTGATTACGGTATTTCAAATTCAACATGAACATATTAAAATTAAAATTAAAAAATATATTAAAACAAATTTCGTGGAGCAATCAGTTTGTTAAAAATTATATGACAGAAAAAAAAAATTAAAAATCAAAGTGTAAGTATTATATGGAAATTGAATTAACTAATTTTTAAGTCAAATTTATGTTGAAATTTCAATTCATAATGTCAAGTTTACTCACGAAACAATACTGGAAAAGAAAGTAAAGCTAGCCCAACAAGAACTTACCGCTAGAGGTATGCCCATAACGGCAAAAAGGGCTAAAGCACCAGCCTTGATACCAGGCGGCGGCGGCAAGAGGTGGGTTCCTCCATTCACGGTGGTGTACCTTCTGTTGGACTGAGCCAATTTGGTTATCAAAATAGTCATAGCCAAACAAATAGCCAAGACAAAATTCACAATCCCCCACAGCCTCTTAACCCCACCAACCCCACGAGCCAAAGCCTCCACACCAAGCGAAGTAACTCCCAAAACCACCGAGTTAAGCATCAACCCCAATGCACCTGCACGGACCCCATGATCATACATCTTGAGTTGATCAGCATTTCCACTTGAATCACCACCGTAAACCTCTCTCCCCATCCAATCAGTATCAAACAACAGGAAAGGGAACCAAGCAACCCAATTTAGACACGTCACCAAAAGTAGGATCCACATAGGTCTTTGCAAGGTCTTCAAAGCAGCAAATATTTCCCCAAAAAAGGGCAGTGGCACCGACACTTTGGCTTCTCCAATCGCCTCCTCTTCCTCCTCCTCGTCACCGCCTTCACCGGGACTTCCCTCCGGCGACCAGGGTTTTTCACGTACGTAAGAGAGAGCTAGAATTGTTAATATTAAAAGCAAGGCAATAGAGATAAAGAAGCAAGATTTGAGGTTTGCACAGTAGACATCACAAGCTTTGGTTCTTGAAAATGGAAAAAGTTTGTATAAGTGAGTGTAAGACCCAGCTGCATAGCCAAGAACATTGCCAACAGCCATAAAGAAAGAGAAGAAAGCATTGGATGTACGTGTCTTCTTCTGATTCGTCCCTGAAAGATCAGCAAGAAATGCCCTACATGGACCTTGAAGCATGTTATTAGCAACATCAAGAATCCAAAACCCTACAACAAACACAGCAATGGCTCGTGGTTTAGCTGTTTTGGTTAGGGAATCACCAGAAAGGTGGCCAATGTCAGCGGCATAGCCAATGAGAAACACGGCAATGGTGACGAAAACAGCACCCGCCGCGATAAATGGTCGGCGACGGCCAAAACGAGATGTGCAGCGGTCACTGTGGTAGCCAACTACTGGCTGGACTAACATCCCAGAAATCGGCCCACAGAGCCAAATGAAAGCCGCCCATGTGTGAGGAATGCCTAAAAGCTGCACATATGGGGTTAACAAAGAGAGCTGGAGTGCCCAACCAAATTGAATCCCAGCTGCTATTGATGCAACCATTATGATCTTTCTTAACGGGCCAGGTTTTACTGAGGAGGGCAGTTGTTGAAGATTGGAAGAGGAGGAAGGGGGTTTGTCTTCTTTTCTAACTCCACTCTCCATATTGCTAGCTCGCTCGCTCTCAAATATTTCTTGGTTTCACAACAAGGGGTTTTTGAGATTGTGTTTTGAAGATGAAAAGGGAAGCGAGTTTGCATGGGAATTTATAATGGGAGAAAGTTGGGTGGGTGATGTCAAGGAAAGTTTGAGCGGGTAAATAAAAATTAATATGGTCTTATCCGTTTAAGATCGTGTCTTCTTCAGTCTCAGTTCCGTATGTGACTGTAGGGTGCAGATTCTTTGGTGCCAAGTATGTTGCTGCAATTAAATTCTCTTTACCTTATTAGGGTTTAGACATTGCTAATTTTCTGTTTCTGTCATTTGCTCATTAATTCACATTTTCTTCCATAGACTTTCAGTCATTTATTGACATCACTGTCTTTTTTCGTAAGGATACATGGAAGAACATGCATGAGGAATTCCTTTTTTGGAGACACGTGTACAGCAGCAATATATTAAGCTTTTGCTGTTAAACAGATTACAAAAGCGTTTGCAGAAGATCTCTCTCTCTCTCTCTCTCTCTCTCTCTCTCTCTATATATATATATATATATATATATAT